ACCCAGGCGCCCCAAATAAATACAGATTTTTAAAAGACTATTTGAAAGAGAGCGAGCGAGGGCACAAGCAGGGGGAGGGGCAGAGGGAGAAGCAGACTCCCCAGTGAGCAGGGAGCCTGATGCGGGGCTTGATCCCAGGACCCTGAGATCATGACCTGAGCCGAAGGCAGACGCTTAACGACTGAGCCACCCAGGCGCCCCACGTGCTCACTTTTGGACTACGCTTTACAACAGCCAACGATGGACGGCAGAGCCTGTGTCTTTTCTATGCTTGCTATGTGCTCAGCATAAAGGTCCTGCCGAATGCAGAGAAACCAGGTAAGAATCTCCCTTGGGGAGACCAGATGGTCCTCACCCACACCAGCCCTTCCAGGTGGTTCTGCTGCAAGAACTCAGGCCACAAACCCAGCGCATCTTTGACCTCTTCCTGTTTCCCTCTTAACCACAAGCAAGAAGGCAAATTCAAGAAAGGAGATGTCTGAGGAACCCGCCCTGTGCCCACCGCCCACATGCACTTTCTCTTTGCAGGTCGTCCCTCCGCCACAGGGATGTGGCCTACCTCGGCCAGCACCAGCCCCACTACTCACTTTGAGCTTGGACTGTTGTTCCAGCTGCAGCGTCTGCTCCTGCATCTGTGCAAGACTCAGGGCCTCCTTGGCATGTCCTGTGGGGGAGAGGGAGAGAGTGGGTATTAGGACACTTGGGCACCAGGCAAGCATTCCTGTGTGCCAGGGGGCTTTCAGGGAGGCCACAGCTCACCTCGACCAGAAAACACACGTGCCCACCCTCATTCCTGGACCAGATCTTGTTTGGTGATCCCTCCCTCCGAGACCACTGCCCCCTTTTCCTCACCTATGTCTGCTCCACTCCCAACAGAAAGCCCCACATACAAGACCTTACCCCCCCAGCAGCTGTCACGTCCCAGAGAGCTATCAGAAAGGCTGCCCCACGCTAGTTGAGAGTAGGAGGGTCAACATGGCCGTCACGGTCCCGATTAAACAAAAAGCAGCCTGTAGCTAGAATACCTTATTTTTCGTAGTAGGTATATTTCTCTTAAGTCCCCGATATCTATTATTATTAACCTGCTATCAAACACATGCGAGTAGTACAATGAATAGGAAGTAAACAAGTTAAAAATAAGCCAATGCACACAGAATGATGGCTCTTCACAGACCTTGTGTTACAAACACACACATTATAAAGATTTTCTGTGTGTATTTTATTCGTAAGGTGCAATTCATATCCACCAATACTTGAGTGTTCTGAAAAAAAAGCTAACTTCTGGTGCTCTCCTAGCCAAAAAGCCCGTGCATCTGGCTTCTCAAATATTTTGGTGATGACACAGTTCTCCCATACATGAGATTTTACTATAAAGAAATATCCTAATACGTAACAGTATGGAAGGAAAGTAGGGAATCCCTGTGAACCCAGCTCCCTGATGAAACAATGTACCTGGTTTTCTCCCTTTGTGTACCACACATCTATCCTTCCACCTGAGCCCCGTGACCTTACTTTCTGAAGCCTTCGAAGTAAGTTGCAGACCCCAGTACCCATCACGCCCAAGCTGCGGCAAACGCACCATTACCTAGAGCATGATTTCTGTGTGCAGGTCTGTGAGCACCCTCACACGCTGAGATGGACGGGGAGGAAGCTGCGGTATCTGATGGTCCACTAGGGCCAGCGGTGTGGAGAGCACATAGTGCCTGAGCCTGGGAAGGACCTTCAGAGCCAGTCAGGATCGGGCTGACACGGCCTCCCACACCTCACTACAAGGCTCTCCCCTGGGTCTCTGGCGATCGGAGGCACAGGAGCCCGAGGAGAGGCAGCACAAAGGCACCAGGGTCCCACATCCTGCCCCGTAAACTTGGGAAGCCACAAAGCCAAGGCTCGAACAGACTCTAGGAGCCCCTTCTGAGCAGGAGGGAGTGAAAGCACAACAGTGCTCGTCCTGCTGCAGCAGATAGGAACGTGGGTGCCTCAAGGCAACAATGCTGAGACCATGTCCCAGCTTCCCTTGTCACTCACAGCATGACTTTAGTCAGCCAGGTTAACCTCACCTGAAAATGGGGCAATTAGAGATCCCTCAGCCACTGACTCAAGAGAGAGGAAAATGTGAGAGCAGGTAACCTTAGCACAGCGCCTGGCACCCACATGTCCCACTAATCACAAGCTACAATTTCAACACTACCAAGGGTAACTTACCACCTTGAAATCATCTAACAGGAGCTGTGCATTCCAAAGCACTAATGTAGCTCCTACTACAGGCAAGGGACTCTTTTACACCTCCACCTTCATGGAGTGTACAGACACATGGACTGGAGCACTCAGAGAGCTCAAGGCCAAATGTGCTGCTCTGACCTCCAAGGAAGGCCCAGAGACTTAGGGGATGAAGGAGCATCAGGCTGGACCCAAAGGACAGAGCAGGCGGTCATACTACAGGGAGCAGCTGAGGGCATCTTGGTTTGCCTGGAGAGAGCAGTGAGTACCAAGAAGACAGGTTTTGGAGAGGGGCTGTTGAGCAGAGAGGCAAAAGGCACCCTGGGAAGAAGGGGTTGGGGACAGGAAGAGGTGGTTCAGCAAGGCAAAAGCTCTCCCACTGGCCAGTAATTAGGCCAGGAAGGATGGCAGGAACAAAATGAAGTAGAGGGGCTCCAGGCTAGCTCAGCTGGATGGGCATGCGACTCGTGATCTTGGGTTTGTGAGTCTGAGCCCCCCCGGTGGGTATAGAGATTACTTAAAATATAAAAAAAATTTTAAAAATTAAATGAAGGGCACCTGGGTGGCTCAGTCATTAAGCATCTGCCTTCGGCTCAGGTCATAATCCCAGGGTCCTGGGATCAAGCCCCACATCAGGCTCCCTGCTCCACGGGAAGCCTGCTTCTCCCTCTCCCACTCTCCCTGCTTGTGTTCCCTCTCTTGCTGTGTCTCTGTCAAATAAATAAATAAATAAAATCTTAAAAAAAAAAATTAAATGAAGTAGAGCTCACACTTAGAACAAAATCATTGGATGTAGGGCGCCCAGGTGGCTCAGTTGGTTAGGCGTCTGCCTTCAGCTCAGGTCATGATCCAAGGGTCCTGGGATCGGGCCCTGCATGGGGCTCCCTGCTCAGTGGGGAGCCTGCTTCTCTCTCTCCCTCTGCTGCTCCCCCTGCTTGTACTCTGTTGCTCTCTGTAAAATAAATAAAATCTTTTTTTTTTTTTAAGATTTTATTTATGGGTATGGTCCCCCCAGACAGTGGCCCCTGGGGGCCAGGTGGAGAATATTCTGGGGGAGTAGCTGTGGGGCACCTGGTACCAAAGACATGGGAGCTATTCAGAGGCATGATCAGATGAGGAAGAGAGGCCCCTTAGCTGCCTCCCCTCAGGCACACTCAAGGCTATTCACAAAGGCCCCCATAACTGCAAGGATTTGGGGATAGTAGGATTCAGCTTCCAAAAGTGGGAAAACTCTGAAATTCTGTGTACGATTGAGTTAATGAAATGTCACAGGAGCTGGGGCAGAAAGGTGCCACCCCCACTAAGCCCTTAACAACAAATTGGGTCACATGTTAAAAGTCTGTCATCATCTGAGGTGCCTTGATGCCCAGCCCAAAGTGGGTTTCTCAACCAACCCGATAACTGAAATTACCTTGCAAATTCAATACACCTAGTCTGAGAAGGATGGTCTTCCAGCTAGGCCTAAGTAAACAGGCCATCCTAAGCCCAGGCCCAAATATCCAGATGTTTTTAATGTCCCTCTGGGGATCTGAGAGTCAGGCACCCTTGCACCAGGATGTTCCTGCAGCCCCCTGGGGAAGGGCAGGGACTGAACCACAAAGTGCCAGGCCTCTCCCTCCTCAAACAGATTCTCCTTTATACCTGTTTATAACATGGCTTCTTAATACAGCCTCCTCTGAAAAAAGGGCATCTCTGCTTAAGCAGAAATCTGAGAACTACTGTGTCCTTTCAATCAGTGTTTATTCGCTGTCTTCTACATTCTAGGTTCTCAAACACTTAAGACTATATCCTAGAACAAATCATTAAGCCAATAAGACAAAAGATGGGAGGAAAGGAGGTAGGATTAGTGAAGGTCCGGCCAATTACCGTGCCTTGAGGGCCCTAAGTCAGGAAGGCTACCTGGAGGGACCAGGACAGACTGACCTGCATTGCATTACAGACCCCTTCAATCTGAACGCTAATGCTTTTCAAAAATAAGCACAAAGCTGCTGTATTTTCCATAAAACCAATGGCCCTCAACTGTACTTCCCTTCTCAAATGGACAATTGCTAACACCACACACGGAATGGATCTGGCCACGCTTTGGCCACGTGGAGGCAGCAAGAGGCCCAAGGAGCTTCCCTACTCGACAGTAACTGAAGACCAGGCTCCAGCCCGGGCACCTGCTACCTGTGACTTCTCAAAATCCCATCTGCACCAGTTCCTCACTGAAGGACGCTCGACAGCTTGGAAGGTGCCGAGGGTGCTGGTATCCCCAACCTCCCCGCACGCAAGGTGGCTTTGGCCAGGTTTACTCCTGTAGACCAGTTTCCCCACCCGGCAAGTGGGACTGCAGATAGCCGCCTATCCCTCAGACGACTGCGGAGCTAAATGCGCCCTAGGACCCGGCATGCCCGGAGGCTCGGTGGACTGGCTCTCCGTGGAGGAGCCCCGAGCTCCCCTGGCCCCACCCCAGACCGGGCCCCACCCTCGCCGCCGCACTCACGCGAATGCTCCAGCTCTCGCGCCGCCTTGGCTGCGCGCTCCAGGCCCGTGGGGTCAAAGTTGCTCCATTTGTCCTTGGGCGCCGGCCGATCCCCCGCGCCACGGTCCCCGCCGCCCTCGGCCCCAGGCTGAGCGGGCGGCAGGGACAGCGGTGGCCCCGCGCCTTCGCCCTTGGGACCCTTGATCCCGAAGAGCCACGACATGGCGCGCGACCGCCGCGCGGCGCGGCAGCCGCCGGGAGCCGAAGCCGAGTTGAAGCGCGCGGATCGGGGCAGCCTCCACGCGCCGCGAGCCGGTGGTCAGAGGTCCTGCGCAGGCGCGACAACGCCTCTTCCTCCCAGGCGACGGAAGCGCGTGAGGGCCGCGTACCGTGCGGCCTCCTGACTGGCCGCGGTTACCGTGACGTCACCGGCATCGTCGCCAGGATTGCCCAAACTGGCTTTGGGGGCGGGCCGTCGAGGGGCGGCCGAAACGCCTAGTTACGGGGACCGATCAGGGACAAAATGGGTTGGGTGCATGTGTGCCCTTGTTTACGTCATTTCCTGGTTAGACGTCAGTTCTGTGTCGCGTTGCCGTGGGTTCCCGCAGAATCCCGACGAGGCGGAGCCGGAGAGGCAGGTGCCGGGGAGCCGGGGCGGGGGTCCTTGGTACGCGAGGTCCCGGCGACAGGGCGGTGAGCCCCGGACGGAGGGAGCGGCCGCCGGAGGGAGAGCCTGCGGAAAGCGGCTGATCCGCGAGGGAAAATCAATCCGGGGCAGGCGCGGGGAGGGGCCTCGACTCCGCGCCCCGGACCCGCCGCCCGCGACCGAGCCGCTGGGGCCCCTGGAGGGTTGAGGCTGCGCTCAGTGGGTCTGGGTGCTCGCGCACGTAGTCGGCGCTTAGTAAGATGTTAGAAGGGTAGAAACGCAGTCGTTGCCCGTCCCCTAGAGCCGCCATCAGGTTGAAGAGCCGGCTGGAGAACAAGCGCGCCCCGGCCTCCTTTTAGGTATCTCAGCAAGCCACAGTGGTCCGTGCTCGCACGATCCTTTGTATCACTCCGGAGTGGCTCACAGGCTGGCTCAGTTGGTTGAGCATCCGACTCTCGATTTCAGGGTCATGAGTTCAAACCCCGCACTGGGCTCCACACTGGGTGTGGAGGCTACTTCAAAGTGGCTCACAACTGGAGGGAGACGGATCTCAACCCCAGAAGCGTGGAAAGACAGAGCAGCCCCCCCAAAGTCCCACAAGAGGGCGTCCTTGCTGGAGGAGGGGTCCAGTCTTCTGGGGCACCTCCAAAGGCCACGTGCCTGCTTCCGGGACAAAGGGGCAGGCTGACCCCGCCTTGGGCAGAGGGAGGAAAGGATGGGCAGAGCCAGCGTTGCTCTAGAACCCACAGTACCCAAAGCTAGCAAAGTTCGCTTCTAGGGCCAACATCCAAGTTGCCCCTTTAGTCTTTCCTTGATGGAATTGGTTGAGTTCCCAGAATTATATGGAGTTGCCCCCAGTGGACTGAAAACAGTTTTAATGCTGAATAAAAATAGGGGAAAGAATTAAAGATGATTCTGTGATCTTTCACCCTCAAATGAAGAGAAAGCCAAATGAGTTTCCCAGCCAGATGCCGCCCCCCCTCCCCCACACCAGTGGCCATCAAGGTTTTTATGGATTAGCCACAAACTATATACTTCCCACAGCCCCCCTAGCAGGGCTCTGCTGCATGAAGAAAAGGAAATGGGTAAGATACAGGAAGTCCTTGTCCAAACACAGCTCAGCCATGTGCCCGTTTAGCTCCATCCATCCCAGTCCAGTATTGGCAAGCTTGTGTACGTTTATTTAAAGAGGAATCACTGGGGGGCGCCTGGGTGGCTCAGTCGTTAAGCATCTGCCTTCGGCTCAGGTCATGATTCCAGGGTCCTGGGATCGAGCCCCGCCCCGCATTGGGCTCCCTGCTCAGCGGGAAGCCTGTTTCTCCCTCTGCCACTCCCCCTGCTT